CACTGAGCTCAGTACCTGTATTGTTGTGACTGTGTTTTGTTGTTGCCAAATGCTGTTACTGTTGGCAGAAATGGGTTGTGGTACAGACAGAAATTTTGTTTCGCTTTGTGCTGACTCTTTTTTCAGTTTTGTCTTTTCGGCTCGACTTGTCTGACTGGTTTCGAGAACTTTGTGCTGTACACGAACGAAATCACAAAATTTATTAACAAGCTTTGTTTATACATTTCTTAAATGTCGGTTGTTTGTTCAAGCTTTAACTTTTTAAAGCTCTGACCCGCACACTGGTTATTCAGATGTCCGCCCGCCGCCCGACAAGGGTTCTCTCTCTAACCAATCTCTATGGATTGAGCTGGACAGAAACGGAATTAACACGAACTACTTTGCCGTTCTGCACTTATTAAGAAACATATCTAGATGTTCTTTTTTATTTCCATTCGTATTTGGTTCGTTGTACACATTCACTTTTGTCACTCACTTTATTATCACTTTTGGTTTTTACTTTTTTCCTTCGGTTTCTCCGTTTTTTGCAACAAAATACGAAATACACCGCGGATGCTAATAAGTATTTTTATTTAGTTATTCGTTATTCTTGTCATCAAGCAGTGATGAGTTTAAATACAAACGTTTGAATTGTTATCCATTACACTGCTGCTTCGGGTTTTTCTCGTGTTTATTTCCATTTTGTCACCACAACCACGAAGTAGTTAAACTTGTAATTATTCATATTTCTATTATTGCTTCATTTCACTCCTCTTTCAAAATGTATGTCTGGTGTTTTGCCGTTGAACGCTTACTAACACTCCGAATTCAAGCACTTCTCACTAACAAATAAAAATATAAAAGATGGAAACGAAAGACTTACTGAGAGTTTTTAGTTTCGCGATGACTACTTGTGTAATCGAATAATCGATTTTTCAATGTAAAACGAAGTGAGAGAATAAAATAAGAGAGAGAGAGAGAGAGCGAGAGTTCACCAGGGGTGGCAAAATCATTGCAATCGTACCATTGTAGTACCATTTGAAAAGTGTATTTTAATATGAGTACCGCAAAGACAAAAATAAAGTATTCCATAACGACATTCAACATATATGCCCAAATCCAAATGTAACTGGATGTGTTTGTCATATATTGAAATTGTGTTTCTTTGATTGTATTTTTAGTGGTAAAAATATTAAAAAAACAATAAACATTTTGATAATAAATGTTAGTTTTCACATCGTGTTAGAGTAATAGCATGTTTCCATTGGAAACCGAACAACGTTGTTCGCTCTCAGAATTAGGTACACGAATTAACCCGTTCATACGGCACGATTCGTAATTCATAGTAAAATAATTCCTTTTTTCAAAATTTTGTTTGTAGATTTTAATGGGAATTTATACTAAAATACATTAAATTCTCACTAAAATTATTATTTTTCTCCCAAAGATTTATTAAAACATTAATTTTATAATTTTCATTCACGTTTCCAACTTTTTGTGTAAATGTTGACATTTTGAACATATTTTGTATTTTTCTATTTTTTAATTCTGCTGGAGAGACACTAGTCAAACATTTTTTCTGCCGATACAAACATTTTGAAAATATTGCCTCTTTTGTTTCCTGTTTTCTGTGGTAATTTCAACTCGTGGACAAAATGCGTACCTCGGATGAGAGAGGAAACAAAATTTACTTTCGTTTGAATGTACATACGCTATTCTACATTGTAGTTTTCATTCATAAATTTCAGCCTTCCCAAAATTTTTCAAAATTTCATTAAATTTTTCTATTTATAATTTTTAAATGTCATAATTTATTTTTTCGATAAATGCTCTCATTTGTTAGGGATGGGACATATTTTTTCGTTGTTCTGAGAGTGATTTGATTTGAACAACGTACAAATATGAGTGTTCGCTCAGGAAATTTTGTGTGAAGAATTAGGTAGTTTTTTCATAGTTAAGGGTCAAACAACGAATAGAGAGCGAATCAAGTGCAGTGGAAACGCCACATTACATGTAAAGAAATTTTGTAACATTTTATAATAACCAATTTTTTTAGCAGGCTTTTAAGCGTGGTCAACAATTTTAAAACTTGAACGAAATGCTAAACTATTTAATATGTAATGTTCATTAATTGTATTTATAATAAACATAATACTATGAATATATTAATGTGTACTGTACTACAGAGCTAGTGCTTTGAACAATGTCGCACAAATAATGAAAATGTCGAATAGGCGCTATGCGAAAACGTGGAACTGCATACAAAACTTTTTGTCATAGGCTGTAGCATCCATTACGAACTTCAAATACGGAATTTGAAATTATTCCGGTAAATAATGTTGGTAAAATCATGAAAAAAACCGAATATCGGGGATATACGAAGACGTGGACCTGCATACAGAAACGTTTGTCATTGGCTGTAGTACCCATTACGAACTTTATAATACGAAATTTGAAATAATTCCGGCAAATAATGCCGCTGAAATCATGACCATTTTAGTACCATTAACACACTTTTATTTTCCATCCCTGACGTTCACTGTTACGATAAAGAGAGTAAGGAGCATGCTGGTGTTGCCACGTTGCCAATTTCATTTTCGAATCGGTAAAAGAATTCTGGTAGATGCATCACACTTCTAAATTTTGATATGTCAAAAACATTTTAAAAAAAATCTGCAAATGTGTTTCGACAAGTTCAACTAATACTTTTTTCTTTTTCATTCCGACAGGTCATTGAAATACCAGCTTTCTTGATTATGTTCCGTATTATTTAACCATGGTTGGCCAGAAGTGCACAATTGAATAAATTTTTTTATAATGATATGCTCCCTTTTTAATCAAAACATAAAAATATATACACCGTTGTTTTATGTGCATGTATTGTCGCAAAAATATACAAAATAATTCGGTTATTGTGCCAATAGACTATGAAATACTTTTAAACAGAAGAAAATCGTGAAAAAACTTCGATTTCGCTTTTTTTTGTCGTTTTTGGATTTACTGTGAAAATTAATTGAAACAAATTGCTATAACTCTAGGTTGAGAGTTGTGTCGTTCAAACTTGGCCAACTTGTTATACGTCTTCGTTGAAATAACTATGAGCAACAATGTGCTAATTTTTTTACAACCATATAACACTCTGCAACTCAGTGTGGTGGCGTAGGATATAATAATGTACGTACATATTTACTTGCACCTAAAAAACTACATGAGAAACATAAACAACTCATTATTTTTTTATCTTTCCCCCTCCTTTGAATTTCGATAGCAATTCTCAAGAATACCATAATTCTATAGGCAATTTCTTTAAATGCCATCTCTTAGCAACCAGATAAACTATTGAGCAATATTTCAACTTATTGAATTTCACCACAGAATTCCATCGGTTGATGCCCGGACTACAACCTTACAGTCTATTCTCCAAAGCGTACACATACACCAAAGCATAGCCACACACCAACCAACATACCAAACATCATTTTCATTTGTTAGAGGTCGCTTCAGTAGCATCTGTTATTGAAGAGTTGGACTTGTTCGTGTGTTACTCGATGTCATTAGGTACTGTAGGTACTTTTCAGCACAGAAATACCTTACGATATGAAGTTAGTTTTAATATTTTATCTATGAAATGTTTGGGAGTTTTTCCTCAATTATTTTGTTGTTGTAAACTAATTGTCCCATAATTATTGTGTTTATAAAAACAACGGTTGAATAACATGTCACCCATCCCCACCAGTTCTGGGGATATTCTGGGGATATTCTCCCCAGGAGTTATTTTAAAATAACCCCTATGACAAAAAACCTTTCTACCCAAGTGACGAGATCGCAAGCTCACTAGAAGAGGAAGCAAAGAATTGAATTAAACTAAAATTCTTTTGACATTTCTTCTAAATCTTACCATGCATTCGTGTAACCTGTTGCATTCGTGCTCCTCAATCTTAAAAAAAGACATGGAATGCAGAATAAAGTGTTGTGGATGATCGGAGAAAAGAGCATTTCGTGGATTTAGGTCATGGCCAATTTAAATATAGATGAACGAATAAAAGCAAAATCTCCTGGAAGTTCGAAATTTGGGACTTGTTTGTTTTAGAAAGAAACAGAAATACTTTTTGTAGTTCCCGAAAATACGTACTCTCTACACAAAAAATGGGTGTCCTCATACCAAAAATAGAAACTATTGAGTGCTTTTAAATTTGCCTACAATTACATATATTAAAATACATTATTTTATAATAACAGAAAAACTACAAGTAGTTTCTTAAAGTGCGTTCATAGTATTGAAGGTTAACCCACTGGCCTCATAGATCTAGGGTGTGTTCAGATACACCCTCTGGAGAATATCATCTTATGTTTATTTACGTATTCATGCGTGACCAAAAGAGGTAGCAAAAAATGGACAAAAAGCTAGGTTGGAGGCAATTGATGTATCGGCATGAGCAAATACAATCTTACGATTTTTGTTGTTGTTTGAATGCGAAATTTAAAATACATCTTTGCGGAAACACTTGCGACTCTGGAGTGTGCCGCATAAAAACACATTAATGTATTCTGTTAGGATGTAGATTCCGCGCCGGTCTTAAAATGAATCTGGGCATGTATCGCCCCAAAAATTTCTCCTATGGAGAAATTTTCAATATCAATATGTCGGCTGAATTTCTAGCTTCATTTCACTGATGGATCAGGACAAGATACTTTAAATAAATCCTCACAAATGTGCCTAACCCAAAGTAAACGTACTATAAGGCAACATGATTAAAAACGTTCCTGGCGACTAAAGATCTCTTGTCAAAATGAGCTGATTACATATAATCAAAAGACACTCAGTTACTTTTTAATAATAGACAAGTAAAAAGCAGCTAAGTTTGCTCGGGCCGAACTTTTAATACCCTCCATCATTGGGTAAAGGAAACATTTGTATTAACAATTATTTCTAATCTTTCGCATAGGGCCGGTCCCTTTTTCTTATTTTTTATATATGTCCTATTGAATAGCCTGTGTTAGTTTAGAGCACTTGTACATACCTGGGAAAAGTAGGCTGGAAGCTCACATCTTTGGTCTTCTAACCGCGAACATTGTACTCTTTCCAACAACTCAAAGAGATCTTGAGTAGCGCCTCGAAATCGATCCGGGCTGTGGGTCAAACTGCCACCGCCATTGGTCTTCTGCACACCATTCGCCGCGAAGGCATGTTGACGTCTGAAACGAACAAATAGAAAAAATAAAAATATTTCAGAGGAGACCATAACGAAAAAAATGCCGCAAACGATTAGCGTCTTGGCAAGCGCAAAGGGCTTTTAGTATGTTTCTCGGAAAGCATGAATGAGTGACTAGGGAACAATGACGATTTTCTCAACTAATAACCATAACCGTCAGCCATCCAGCCAGTCAGCGGTATTGTTACCGACATTGCACTCATAATTTTCGAGTGGTATATCTTCAAGTGACTTGTGATTTTATTACCGGAGTGGATGTGGTGACATTGTCGTTTTCTTTGTTCCAGTTTTTTTTGTTGGTCTGCGAACATTTTGATGCGGTTGGGGTTAACGATTCGCTAGTTACCATAGAATGCCATTATGCCAACGGTTGACATACGCCTGAGTGTGTGTATGTGTGCATACATGACATGTATGGGCCAGAATTCTATATTTTGGGATTTAACCAAAAGAACCACCCCGGAGATGAAGAGAAGCAGGAAGTCTAAGGCAAATATTTAATGGATTTATTGAAGGAGAAATCTTACGGTTCTAAACTAATGGAATGTTGACGTACAATTTACTACCGTGAAAGGATGTTGTCATAAACAGATCTCATCACGGCACATTAAGTGAGAGTGCTCTCACTCTGAAATTCCCAGATCGATCAGCTTGAAGCAGCTGTCGCTTCAAATGGTGGGAGTACCAACACCATATTGCGTCAACAAGCCATTCCTAATATGGGAGCTCTTTCATCGACTCACGTTTTCAGTCTGTTTGTGTGTGTGTGTTTGTTTTGCTGCTTTACTCCAGCCACTTAGGCGGATACTAGTAATAAATTAACACTGTGGCACAGTTGTGTTCAACAACTGATGAGTACCTTCAAAGAAGTGGATCGCACACAGACGCCGTTAACATACGGAGCGTTGTACATTATCCTCCCCAATTTGTTTCATCTCCGCATAGCAGAGTGAAACCATATGAAACTGGGTAAACTATGGCGACTACTTCCGCGTAAACACACCGAAAGTCCGAATTTAGCCGCGGCTGTTGTACGTTTTAGTTGACACAACCTCACCCACGTCGATGTCCGTTGGCAGTCACCCTCGCGGTGTCTATCCATGGATTGAGCTTGAAATTTATTTATGCAAATGATCGGTATCAACAGTGCGAAGTTATGGCTAGCATGCTAATAGTGTCGTAACAGAAATGGCATTCCGTTCGCCACAAATGGGCTAAGACGTCGCTTTGAAATGCCCGTTTCCACAAAACAATCGCAGTCAAAGAAGATAAATTGCGCTCTCCGTGTCTCCGTAAGCACTGGCTTGTGGGAAAGAACGCTCCCGAATGTTACTCCATTGGGAGAACTTTAGTGATTTATCGGGAAAAAAGATCTGGCAGTGCTGTTGAAATGCTGGTCACACTCGTGTTTCCCGCGTCAACAATGGAATTCTAATAACAATGGGGGCGTTATTTTGAGAAGGAAATGAGTTCAGGCCACGGCAGGGGAAACGATCAAACGATGCCAAGTCTATTCCGTCGGGAACAATGATACGTTTCGCGTTACGTACGATAAGCGATGCAATTAACGACAGCGCCGTCAGACACAGAACTTGCAATCCCTGTTCCCTAAGCAGAGTTGATGTCCACAAACTCCCATAACTAGGTTCCAATACGTCGAAGAAGAACACCATAATGGGTTGAGACACACTCTCACATCAACACTAATGGGGTTGAAGCGTTCATTCCACATGACGCAAGAAAATAAAACCAGACCAGTGTTGTGTTGTGCGTTGCAAGTTGCGACGACCAAGTGAAACAGGAAGGACAACGCAAACGAATAAAACCCAAGAGAGGCAATGTCCTGCCGCGAGACATTGTTCAGTGTTCGCTCAACCCGATCAGGTTTGCTGATAACGACGAAAAGGCACAACGGTATTGTGTTTCTTCGTGCTGTCGAAAGTCTATCAGCCTCCGATCATGTCAAGACATTTCCTGGAGCCAGAGACTTCCGTGTTAAGAAGAACAAAACTATTGTTAGAGCCATTAACTATTAAGTTCATGAAGACCATTTTCCATAGACGCTGCTGGGAAAGAGAAATAGAAAACAGTTGAATCGGATTTTCTTTATTTGGCAACGGGGGACTTTCTAGCTTTTTACAGGCAACATTATTCGAGTGTATTGACTGAAGCGTTCACGAGGACATGGAAAACTGTGAGAAAATCTTACGCACAATGGAAAGACGGAACAAATGGGCAACCGTTAAATGTCCACAAATTAAAATGTGCGATGTGCGAAGGAATCGTTGCCATCTCTCACTTTCGTTCGTTGCAAGCTGGCGAATATACACATCGCCACCTCTTGCCGTTGTAACAGCGGAAATGGGGTGGAACCACATTTAGAAATTTCCTTAAGACCACCGCTTCCGCAAATCCAAGATGATGTAAGATTTACAATGGTAGACATTAAGGGAAATTACCGTGTACTCATGCCGTGCGGATGGAAGGGGAAGGTTCACACAAAGGATCGCCAAACAACCCAGGTTTTCAAAAAGGGTGGCTGGACCTTGCCAAAAGGCAAGCGTACAAACGGTGTAAAGGAAGTCTTGATGAGTTTAAATAGTATATGGTGTTTTTCTAAAAAGTTGACCTGGAATGTATTAGCAGAGAGCTTATTTGTTTGGTAAGCGAATTTGTGTCAAGGGCTGCTAAAGCGGAAACACCGACATAAAGTAAACGTCCTATATTTTCCATCTTAAGAAAACCGGAAAGGGTGCACTAATAATTGCGTCACACAAACGTTTAAGGAAAATGTACCCTTTTTTTATTCTTTTTTTTTTTTTTTTTGCCATCAAAAATAAATTTCAAAAGGATTAACGTAGGCGAGAAAGACAGTAAAAATGGCACTCGAAGATGCAGCTGGCAGTGATCTTGTTAAGTATTTGACGCAGTAATCCTCCACCAGGGTGGGTCGTAAATTAGACAATCGAAAACAATGTCATTTGAAGTCAGTGTGACGTGCAGTTATTTGACTTCTTTCGTAGTAAAAAAGCAATTTGTTTGGGTCGTGGGCGCAACTCTGTGGACATGGTACTATATTGACAGAATGCAAGTGATCTGCGGATTGTTGTAGTAAAGCAGGTCGAGCATGCGTAGATCGAAGGAGAAAGAGAGGGTGAATCACACCAGAAACAATTTACACATAGCAACAAATTGTTTGTCAATCTTCGCATCATAGAATAGATAGGATTATAGGCTAAAACCCATTGCACACTAAACGCATAAACGCTATTGAGACACTTCTCGTGTATGGGGAAGTGTTTTCATTGAGGTCGCCTCAATATATCTGGTAAACTTGAAAAAAAAAAAAAAACAAGTAAAAAAACTGTAAGTTCGGCCGGGTCGAACTTTGAATACTCTCCATCATTTGGAGCGAATTTGGCAATTTCCAAAAAAATAAAATCCGTTAAAAATTCTCTGAAAATCTTAAACATACCGAATGTAGCCGTTGTATTACGTTCTTTACGACGACGTGGACCTGCATAGGCAATTTTTGTCATAAGCCATTACAATAATCAAATGCGAAACTTGAAAAAAAAATCGGTGAATAATGTAGCTAAAATCGTCAAAATTCCGAATATCGGGAGGTTCCGTTATATGGGGGCTATACGAAGTCGTGGACCTGTACAGACAATTTCCTGTCTTAGGCTGAAGTATGCATTACGAACTTCAAATACTAAATTTGAAACATTTCCGTTGAATAATGTCGCTTAAATCGCCAAAATACCGAAAATAGCGAGGTTATATTATTAGGGGGGCTATACCAAAACATGGACCTACGTTGCTCATTTTCAATACCAAAAGTCCTGCAGACATTTAAGTAAACTGTTATCAACCTACTTCATTTCATTCCGAAGCTAGAGAGATTTCCACAGACGGACGGACGCTAGATCGACATCGAATTTTATGCTGATCAAGAATATATATACTTTGTGGGGTCCAAAATGTATATTTCGAGAGAATGACAAACTTAGTATACCCTTCATACTATGGTGGAGGGTATAAAAAAAAACAATAATGAAGACATAAATATTTCCAAACACGATCAATTTTTATGACCTGCTGCAGCGATGTCCACAACACATTGCCTCTCAACGGCTATAGTCACCATTTTAGGATGAAACTATAGAACACGGATGACAAATAGCAATAACTATCTCGGCCAGTTTATTGAGGGCGCGTTCACGAACAAATTTCCCGGCAGTATTTGTTTACATTTCCTTTGTCGCCCAGTGTAAACGCGCCATCAAGCCTTATGAAGCAAGTGCATTTAGCTTGTTGCATTGGCAAGTACGCCCGCGTTGTTTTCGATTTTAAATTATCGCCCCTGCACAGCCCGCAAACTAATGTTCAAAAAGTGGTTACACTCGTATATGGACACTTGATGCATAACCCATTCGCAAAGAGTAATACAAACGACTATTCCGATTCTCATGCAGTCAAAGACGTTTATAAACACCATCACCCACAACGGACGGCATTGTATTTCCATAACGAACGAAGCAACGAATAAATCTGTTGGACATTCCCAATGAAATTACACGTTTCACGGGATTGATTAGCTTTGGAAAATAGGAATAGCTAAATATAGCTGCGAGGTTGTAAAAACTTCTTCACACTTCTTCTGGGAGAGTTTCTCTTGATCTTAGCGTTATTCGAGTTTAGAAGTGTCCAAACAAATGAAGTTATAATCTAAGAGCACACAGTACGTACATACGGACGTACGTAGACGGAATCAATACGTACAACAACTTTTTCATGTATCGCTTCCGGGCCACCAGTGTGTAGGACTCCTTGTGACCATTACTTATGTACTTCATTTCTCGGCTGAATATTATGCCTGCAATACTGTAAAATAGTAATCCACAGGACAGCGACAAGTGTTCGGTTTCAGCTTCACCTTCGTGTTCGATTTGTTGTTGTTTTTGTTTGTCTCTGCCGTCT